AAAAAAAAAAAAGAAAGACACCAACAAACAAAAAACCAGCATCCACAGACACATTGTGTGGTGAGACAAGAATTACACCAATAAAGTGCGACGGGTGTTGACTGTCTCACTTGCTCCCTCCACATCTGTGTGCACCTTCACCTGCCGCCTCCACCCCTTCCACCAGACGCAGCAGCCACACCACCACCAAGTGTCGCGCGCTCCTCCGCCATCAGAAGCTGCTTCTGGTGCAGCGTGCTGTGCAGAATGGTCTTCATCGCCTCCATCTCCTCCTGAAGCGTCAGCACCAGACTCTTGCGTCTCTCCAGCTCCAGGCTCGTGGGCGCCGCGACATCGTGGCCAGTTCCCAAACTGAGCGGAAGGAACATCGGCAACGCCACACTCGACGCCTCTGTTACGCCGGCGGATAGAATGCTCCTGTCGGTGTCGCTGCCGCACGAAGTGGTCGGTGACATGCGCGGCGCCCGCCAACTCATCAATGTCGCCATCACACGCGCCGGCCCCCACAACGCCGACTTGCGCCTGCGTTCCCGCCGTGCATTGCTGAGTTGGTCGGGATCACCGCTGCGCGCGCTAACAGTCGGCGATTCCGCTGTCGACTCCTTCAAATGCTCAAAGAAGAAGGAGTGGCACGCGTGGCGTGTCGCCTTCTCTTTCAGCAGCACCTTCACTCCACGGCGCGGCGCGCCGTCCTTGTCGTCCATGGGGTGACCGATGATCTGCGAGAGGGGCGGCAGCCCCTCTGCGAGCGAGCAGTGCGGCACGGTCATGTCGCTAGCAGTAGAAGCACCATCACCCGCATTGGCGCAACGCAGGCGTGGGAGCGGCGTGGCGGTTTCGTAGCTCACAGTGATGGGCGGCAGCTGACCCCAGTATTCATCCTGTGGGGGAATCGGCGACTGCATCTGCGCCAGCGGCGAGGATGGGGAGTACACCTCCACCGCACGGTTGCGTCGCACCATAGCTGGTGCTATTGTCGACGGTGGAGGCTCTGAGCCGCCCGAGAGGGTTAGGGAGAAGGCGTCCGAAGCTTTCCGCGGCAAGCATATACTGCCGGCTGCTGCGGTGCTCACTTCATCCTCCAGTCTCTCTCCCTGCTCCTGCCCTTGCCCTTGCTGCTGCTGCTGTTGTGTTAGCGCTGCATATCGAGAGGCGCACGACGAGAGCGACGACATGCGTGAGAGGGGATTTACGCCAGAAGCAGCAGGAAGAGATTGGTTCTGCTGCAGCAACGGCCCAGAGCTGGTGGACTCAAAAACACGGGAGGCGCTGGTCGTGGAACATGCCGTGGAGCCCCCCGTACTCGGCAGAAGCGTGGCACGCCGCACCTCACCTCTAGGAGATGCTGCATCGGTATCTTCTTTACTCGTCGACGTGCTCGTGAGGGGTTGCAATTCAGGCTTTTGCACACCCGCGCCCACTGCCGTCGCAGTTTTTTGCTTTTTGTCGCTGCCCCGCAGTTCCGTGACGAGCCGCTCAATTAGCTCCACGAGACCACGATCGTGGTACTGCCCCTCTTCAAAGGCCAACGCGTAGACTGTGGGACACGTGCCGACGGCGTGCTGTGTTAAACTAAGTGCCCGACCGCGACTACCACTTCGGCTTCGGCTGCGGGTGCGGCTGCGCCTGCGTTCACGTCCCAGCGTAACTCGCCGCTCACTGCTAGCTGTTTCGTCCATAGTAATTGATCTTCTCCGCGTTGTAGTCTCCATTTCAGCAGCACTTTCTACGGCTGCCTCATCTGTGCGCTGCAGCAGCGGCGCACGCGCCTTGACTGTACGAATATCCTCCATAATTTCTACCACCGCGCGGTGAATCGCCGCTCGCATGTTCGGCACGTTAAGCACGCCGCCCGGCTTCAAGAGGCGCACCTTCAAGTACACCTTGCGGACGACTTCAAAAACCTGCCATGCGCTGTCCGTCAGTTTCCCCAGCGGCGGCGAGGGCGGCACCTCCACGCCACCACCGAAGCAGCCGATGCAGTGCACGGATCCGCCCAGACATGGGCCCGGCTCCCAGCACCACGCGTAGATGTAACTGTCTTCGCTGCTTGTGCAAACAAAAATGGGTGCGTTACCGGCGCTGCTGCTACTGCTCACTCCGCTGCCTTCGCCGCGAGCTTCAGACGACGCAGCAATGGGCATCGACACATGTGAAGAGCGGTGTAGGGTAAAGGCACCAAGGGTTCCGTGACGCGTGAAGCCGCGGGTCTGCCGCACAAACCGCACAGACGTAACACTCTGACGATGCCCCCGCCAGCGCTGCAGCATGTGGACGCCATCTTCAACACCGGTGACCATCTCAAGTGGCATCGCCGACAGCCAGTTGACGCCGCTCAGGTCGAGCAGCACAACGTGCCCATTTGCGTCTCCCACTGCGAGATGGGACGCGTTGTCACTCATATCCATTGCCGTCACCGCGTCGAGAGCATGCGTTACACGGAAGCGCATCACCTCGGACATAGTTCGCAGATTCCAAAACTGCACAAGGCCATCATCACTCCCACTCGTAACGTAGCCCGTTTCACCAATAGACACAATTTGTCCAACGAAGCCAAGCGTTGCGAGTTGTTCCCGCAGAAACATACCAAAACTGCTACCCAATACCCCAGCGGAGGCGATGAACTCCTCCGAGAAGAGCAACAATGGCGGCAACTCCTCGCTTCCGCTGATATCACAGCCATTCCTACCACTGTCGCCGCTACAACCAGCACTGCCCTCATTTGCGTCTGAAAGCGAGGACGAAGAATGAGCCGATGATGTTGTAGGTGCCACCTCGTCACAAAAAAGATACCGCTCCCGCTGCTGCATGCACTCCCGCGTTATTGCCACCGGGTCGTGCAGGAGTGCACCTGGGAACAGCGCGACAAGATCAAGGTGCGGTAACGCGCGGCAGTGACTGTTCAACTGTGGCTGGATGGGAGGAAGTGCGAGGGAGCGCCGTTTAACTTGGATGATGCCAGAACCGCCTGTGCTGTTCGGCGCGACGAGCGATCGACGCACCTCTGAAGCGCCACTCTTTTTAGTGTCGTTCTTCTTCGTGGGGCGGTCGGTGAGGCGCAGACATGGGATGGGGCACGTCGTGGCTTCATCCACCGGCGTCACGCTAATGCCGCCACGGTGACCGACAACAACGAGACCCAGCGACGCCACAATCACCGCGCATGACACGCCAACTTCGTTTGTCAGAATGCTGCGGTGCACGCCACCGGTCGAGCCGACGTCCGCCACCGTGCTGCCCTGCGAGGACAAGGCGTACAGTGCGGTGGTGCCGTTCGCCGACTGCTCGCGCTCAAAGGTGCCGCAGAGAAACGCGGTAGGATGCATAAACGATGCCCCACTAGCCGCCACGCCGCACGCGAGCGACGCAATTTCGCCCATGTTGGCGGGGAAATCAAAAGTGCGCAGCACAGATCCACTGAAGCTGTTGTACTCCACGATACACCGCTTGCGGAGAAGGGCGACAAAAATGTGCGCCGACTCCGTCTGCTCCACGGCTAAGTGGCAGATGCCCCCCTCCACGCACCAGGACCGCGCCACTCCTGTTGCAAGTGCCCAGCGGCAGCCGTCATTCACCAACTTTGCGGTAGTACGCCGCTGTTTGGGATGGTCAGTGCTGACGCTCTCTTCCGTCTTCGGCTCGCTCACCTCGCTCTGCTGCGCCTGCAAGTCCGCCACGTCGGCATTCCATATAATAATGACCGAGTCGTCGGCGCTCACCCAAAACGACCAGTTGCGCTGGAACGCAAGCCCGACAATGGCACGTCGGTGGCCACGGTAGTCATGCGGATACTCATCGCGCTGCTGGCTTTCCCACACTCGCAGGTACCGTCCCCCGAGGATCAATCGATCGTCAACCGCGTCGTAGCGTGCCCGCAGCATTTCGCCTGCCCGCAACGATGCGGGGGTTTCATCGCGCAAGATGTGCAGACATTGGTACGACACCGTGTCGAAGAAGTACAGCATGCGTTTCGAGTCTAGCACCAGCACCAGCAGCGGCTGTCGCGGCGGCTGTAGGAAAGAAACATCAATGGCATATCCTGTGGTGCCGGAGCTAGTAGAAAAGCTGCGAAGATCAACGCGGTAGAGCTGCCGCGATGAGGATGGTGCCCAAAATGTGACGTAGCGGTCGGCGCCACCCGTCACAACGAGATTGCGAGCGGCATTCCAGCACATACAGGTGATGCGCTTGGTGTGACCATTGGAATGCAGCGGCGGCGGCACACCGTGTATCGGCACACCATCGCCAAGCGTCACAAATGGCATCTGCACTCGACTCATGTGTCGCACAATCACTCTGCCGTCGTCGCTAGCCGTCATGAGAAGGTCGTTTGGTTCGTGTGTTATGATGCTCGTGATAGCAGCACGGTGCAAACTCAGCGTCAGCACTGGTTCATGCACAGTTGATGGTTCTACCCGAGTCAAGGAGAGGTTCGAGATTGTAAACCACTGCGGGCGCATGCTGTACATCTGCAAGACGCCTGTCTCAAAGCCCAGTAGCAAAAAGACACCACTGGGAAGGACAGAGGAAGAGTTCGTCGCCTCGTACTTCGCCAGCGCAACAGAGCAGGCAAACCAGGACTTGTCACCCTCGCGGGGGAGGCCCCGTCGTCGGTGCCTCAACATAGGCAAGGCACTCCCTTCTCGCCGCTGGTGTCTGCCAGTTCCACCAGCATCACCATACCTACCGTCGTTTTCATCATCGTCGTAACATCCATCGTCATCACTATCGCTATTGTGAACAGCAGCTACATCACGACCATTGGAGTCGCGGTGATCGTTCCAAACACCACCGACATTCCCCTGTTGATTGACAACGGTGGTGGATCCAATATGTTGCCGCTTACCGTTTTGCACCGGCAATTTACTACATGACCACTCGCCCAGATGACCGACCTCACCGCCGAAGTGCGCCAAAACATCTGCCTTGACCGATTGGCGCCGCTCCAGGTGCTCATACGTTGGTGCCACCACATCTAGCCCATTGAAGTAGCGTGACACATCGGTGAAGAACATCTCAATCGCCTCGCGGCGGTACGCCCGCACCTTGAACTCAGGCCGCAGCACCACCGTGGCGCTGTCCATGCTATCGCGAATGTCGCCCCCTACGGCCACATTGTCCACGAGATTCTCCGGCCGCCACTTGCGCTGATGCGTTGCAGATGACGCAATACAGGGGCTAGACATGGCCACACCAACCGGCTCCACAGCGCGACCAATGAACGTTTTGAGCACCTCGCCCGTCCCAACGCGCAGCAGTGTCACAGTGCCGTCCATCGCCACCAGCGTCAGGACTTCGGCGTCACCAAGTTCCGCCGATGCGAGCACCATATCCATGATCGGTGCACCTGCGGCGAATAGATTGCGTTCATGCACAATTGCGGGTTTCCCACGCGCGTCGGCGAGGCGTGGTTCAGGCCGCCACATCTTCACGAGCCCGTCCCAAGCCGCTGTGATGTAGCGCCTACCCCGGTTGACAAAGATCAGCCGGCTGATGGGCTCTGTGTGATACAGGTAGCGTACCAGCGGGTATTGCTGTTGCCAGGGACCACTGTTTGTTGGCGTTGGCGCGTAATTCAACGCACGACCTGCATAGTCTTTCGTGCCATCACTAATACTCTTACCTCTTGTCCCTGTGGGAGCAACTGTTTTGCCAGCGCCGCGGTACTCATCCGCCAGCAGCAGCCGTTGACCGCTCTGCAGGATGTAACTGCTAAGCTCGTCCCATGAAAGAAAACCGTCGCCGTTGGTGTCCATCACGCAGAAGAGATTCTCCGCCGCCTCCACGTGGCTGGCGCGCCGCCGCTCATACGATGAGCGCGGCGCCGACCGCGTCAACAACTGCGACCGGGACGGTGCCCTGAGAAGCGTTGACTTTGAAGTCGTCATGTTCAGGACGAGACTGCCAGTGCCGTCGTCAAGGCCATCGAGGAAAGATGCTGTGGGTGGTCGCCGTGTCTTCTCTGGCGGGAAGAACGCGTCGAAGAACGGCTCCAGAATCTCGCGCTCAAACACCGAAAACGGAATACCCGGGAACGGCGAGTCGCTCGCAGACGTAGAGACAGTACCGGCACTGCGGGGACGTCCATTCTCTGCACCGAGACGCTGCTGCATGTGCTCCTGCTGTTGTTTCCAGCGAAGCACATCTGCCAGCTCATCTTCCGTCCCGCGGAGGCCGTTGGCAGGGTTATCGAAACACGACACCGAGAGCTGTTTCCGCTGCTGCCGACACTCGCAAAGGTCAAACACAAGTCGCATGCGTTCAAGAAGGGCGAGCGAAACCATCGGATCGCGGCGGCGCTGCGCCATGGTGCTCCGCTGATCATCTTGCGCGCTGATCGCTGACGGCGAGCATGTGGCGGCGCTGCTAAGCTGCTCGCGTCTCTCTTGTTGCTCCCGTGCTTGCATGCGGTCGTACACCGACTCGACACGACCTTGAAAGAGGCCGGTGCTCATCAGGGACGGTACGTCTACAGACTTGGAATCCCCTTTGCCTACAGTCGCGGCGCGGGTGTTGGCTTCAGAAGAAGCCTGCGTCTGCTGGGCATCATTCCGCATTCAGTCGCAGCGTTTCGCCCCTCTCCTATACAGACCGGTGTATATTCGTACACTATTCACACAAGTATATATGTGCGTTTAAACTCGGAGAAGATGAAACTACAACCGGCAGACATATATATATATATATAGAGAGAGAGAGAGAGAACAAATGGCGATGATGACAATGATCGTCTCAGCACATCCAGACAGGGAGAGAGGAACAACACCCGTGCGGCTTGGCGAGAAGAAGGAAATCCAAGGTCGCAAAAGCCAAACCGCCTTCATGCTTGATTCCATCCCGCCCCAACCCCTTCCTCCGTCATGCCAAGTCATCGCCCAGCAGGTAGTGCTCGCAGCAGGCGTGGAAGTACTCCGCGACGGCACGGTGTCTGCGGGCGAAGCGGAGAAATGCGGGAAATGTCACGTGTGACGCGGTGCCGTCTGTAGCACATCCTGCTGCTGCTGCTGCTGCTGCTGCTGATGATGATGATGATGACGCGATCACACCACCACAAATGTATGCAAAGAGCGCGTCCTCCTCGGCGAGTTGCGCCGACGACTTAGCGACACCGCCACGCCACATTGTCGAGTGGTGTGGAACGAGCAATATGTCGAGGAGCGCGTCAAAGGCACCGCGACTCAGGCGCCGGTCCCCCACCGACCTGCTCACAGCAGCAACAGTAGCCACAGCCGCGTGCATCACGCCATCTTGGGACGCTTGGAATAGGTAGCGAATCTCGTGACCGTAAATCGACGTGCAACACGTTGAGGAAGTTCCACCAGCAACATGCACTGATGATTCGTGCGCGCCGCCGCCGCCGCCGCCGCCCTGTCTTTCTTCTCGTTGAGCCAGGAGAGCCTCACCTACCAGCAGGATCATCGCAAAGGTCCGACGCAGCGCAGCTGTCAGGGCCTCGTCTTCCTCCTTGATCTCATCAATGTACAACGCGCGCGCAGCCAAAGGAGAGCCCACGCTCTGCTGCAACGCGATGGGCTCCGTGCCCATCGCCGAGAGGAAATCACGAAATGCAACGTGTACACCCCGCACAGAAGCATGCCGTGACAGATGCTGTAGAAGCCGCTCAAGGAGAATAGGGTAAGCCCCGAACGGTGCGAGGAACTCGCCCAACCCAAGTGGTGTCATGAACCCTTCCGGCACATGGCGATAGCGTTGGCGGATTTCGCCCTCCACATGCTGCTGATGCTCACTCCGTTGGCTCGTTGCCTGTTCACACGACGCTTTGCTTCTTGGGTTCAGGGCGGCAATGAACCGCTGTAGCATACGCTCCATACGTTTGTACGGCACTGCAGAAAAGTGCGAGTGGCCGGCCTCCACATTAACCGCCTCGAACGGTAGCTGCAGGTGGTGGGCCATCAGCATTAGGCGCACATCTGTGCTGTTGTGCGCCGTCACGGGCAACAGCATTGCGTGCGCCATCGCACGTCGCACGTTTTCTGCGTAGAGGGCAGAGTCCTGCTGCTCCGCAAGTGTGGGAGCGTACACGGGTAGGTACGTCAGCTCCACCGCGTTGTACAGCTGGCACATCGTCTGCAGCAGCATCGCCCACGGAGAGTTGGCACCGCACCAGGATGGGTCAAAGTGCGTGTACGGGTGGCGCACACAGATCGGCTGCACGGGCGCACCAGGGGCGAAGGCGTCGGTGTCGAACTGAATCAGCGCGCGTCCATTGGTGCAACACGCCTCGGGGAAAACAACAGACGGACGCCAGCCATTGCCCCGCCCACTACAATGCGTTTGCTGCTGAGGCTGTTGTGGCGGCTTGTTCCCGTCTGCTGGCGAACCACTGCTGTCGCTCTCCGACGCCGTGTGCGATGCCTCTCGGTGCCGCAAGAACGCGGCATCTACGTCCCCTGCGGCGAGCGACGCGTCGTGCTCGGCGCACAGCAGGAGCCCGTCCTGCAGCGTGCAGTGATTCGCCACAACGATGGGGGCCTCCGCGTAGGTGCCATTCGTGTGTCGGCCGTAGTTCACACGCTTCACGCGCCCAATACGCCAGTATCCAAATGCCAGCGTGGCCCAACGCCGCGCACTACGCGCGGAGCGGCGAATAATTTGTCGGCCACTGTTGCTGCTGCCGTTGGCCGCCTCCCCACATCGCCGCCGCGTCGTCCCGCGAGCCTCAGCGAACAGAGAGAGGCCCGCCGCCACTGTGAGCAAAAGCGCCACGTACACCAAGCGGAGCGGAAGAAGAAGCAGGGATAGCACAATAAGCTTCAACGTCTGCAGTGGGCTCTGTGACGCGTCACGGTTGTAGAGGAAAGGATGCACCGCCTCGCGTGGCAGCGCCGGCCGTGGCGGACGCACTCGCAAGGCGTCCTCGCCATCTCCATTCCACCCCCGATGTGTTTCCTCACTGAAACCATCATCCCGTGCGTTGCGACTACCGCGCTTGGCCTCGTGGGAGAGGGAGAGCCAGCACCATGGCGCCGCCCCCGGCATCTGACCAACCTCGCATGCCGTGCTCGACATGCCACAGGAATCTCTACAACAGTGCAACGGGAAGGACAGCCACACACGGTAAAGCGGCGTCGGCAACAGTCATTACGCAAACCCACGGAGCTCCAGAGAACTTTTTTAACAAAAGCGGGTATGAGAATCAAATTGTTTCTTTTTTCCTCTTCTGCGATACTCTCCACTGGGTGCACAACTGTTTCCCCTTGACGCCCCCACGTCATGGTTATTTCCTCAACACACCCACACGCCCCTCCCCAAACCAAAAAGAATCAACGACCCTTACTCAAATCATGCACCCCCACACCCACTAAACGTGCAGGGGCTTTTGCTTCTTTCGGCGGTAACGGCTGCCTCCGCCACCACCCTTCTTCAATCCTTCACGGCGTGTCACCCCCCCCCTGCGACTCACTATATCTTCCGACCATACCAACGCTTCACGTCGCCGCCGCCCCCGCCGTCCGTTGAAACCGCAACATCAGTGTGTCGGGCTGTGCTACGTTCACGTCTTGCTCTGCCGATTCGCTCTGCAGCCCCCGTTGCACGCGCTGCACACTGTGCCAGGACAAGACATTCACAGCACAATGAAGACACAAAAAACGAAACACGTACGCAGGCGAGTCGTTCCCCACCAGACTGCGTGGGAGAAGAGCAAAGGCCGGAAGAGAGTGAAGGAGACAGAGCAAAGAGGGGCAGAACTACGCGGTGGTTGTCATAGGACGGCAGCGCATTCTCAGGCGGAGGAATGCTTTGATGCTCTTCTCCACACCTTCCAGGGGGGGGGGGGGGGGGCTTTACTGTCTGGGACGGCGAACGTGGGGAAATTCACGGTGGCCACATCCCGTCGCGATGGCTCACAAAGGCCGGGGTATTTCCCGGCGGTGTGACCCCGGCCATTGAATCGGGGATATGGCCTTTCGCCCTCATCATCGTCGCCCTTACGCGAGGAGCCCTGATCCACCACAATTCATCGCCACGCCCCACCCCCACCCCCAAAGCGGTCAATCCGAGGGGCTGCGAATAAAGATAACCCGGATCTGGTGTTGCCTCCGCCGCCGCGCTTCTGTGGCCACGGTCACGGACGCGGTCTCGCACACATGCGTGCTGCCATGTGATTTGCTTTCTGCCTGATGTTTATTTTTGCTTAACGAATGGCAATCGACACAGACGCACAGAGCGACACGATAAGAAAGACGCCGACATGGGAAAAAAGAAAAAAAAACAACAACAGTGAAGTCGTCAGCACGAATAGGGGCGATTCAGCCTTCAGAGTGGACCCAGGGCAGAAAGAAAAAAGAAAAATGGAACGCGACACGTCGCAGTACAACGGCATTTTGGCACGCCGTGGAGCAGGAATAGCACACACACACACTCGCCGCACATGCTAGCGATACTCACACCGTGATATTCTCCATGACTTTGTAAAGACGCTCCGCGAATTCCTTGGGTGGCACGACGCTTATCTGTTGCCGGTTGCTCCAAAGCCCTTTTGCAAAGTTCTCAAGACGCTTCGTCGGTGTGTACTCCTGCAGAACATCGACGATACCGAGATAGTACACATCCTCTCGCGCCGTTGTGTCGTCGCCGGCGGCGTAGATGGGCAGCGAGAGCAAACCCCCATCACAGCCATAGATGCAGCTGTTGTCCATTTCCAGCGACTGCTCGGTGCCAACACCGATAGCCGGCGAGGCGAGTGTCTGCTGCCACAAACCTCCATGATGCTCTTTGAGGAGAATAGTTTTGGATGGTCCCTCTTTTCGCGTAAAGACGCGGCTGCGCACACCAATCAGGCAGCTATAGTCCACAATGTTTAGCGAGTGCAGGAAAGTTGTNTTCGCGTAAAGACGCGGCTGCGCACACCAATCAGGCAGCTATAGTCCACAATGTTTAGCGAGTGCAGGAAAGTTGTGTCAGAGCGAAACTGTGCGAGGAGGTGGGCGCGTTGTAGCGGACCGCAAATAATAAGCTGTGCTGGGAGATCATTGTCTTTAAGAAGAAGAGCACCGAACGCGGTGCGAGGCGCTTTTTCAGTGCTGGCAGAGCGGCCAATAGTGCTGCCCTTCACATCATAAATGCGGTGAATGTAGTAGCGGGTAGAGAATACATTTTGCATGAGCACATACCGCTTGCGTGAGCGAAGCCGCAGCCACGAGAACGAAAACAGCGCGAAGAACCGCGGCAGCATCGTGTCCGGGTTGCGTTCGCAGAACGCGGCGTAGTTGCTGAGAAAGCGATTCTTGAGGAAGCGAAACTCACTCTCCTTGACACTCTTAATAACGAAGTTGCCGAAGTATATTAGTGTGGAGCCGCTTTTTCCGGGTGAGAGTGCCTGCCGCCAGACGCAGTTCGCACCCAGCGATGCACGAAACCCCTCCATATCCATGTGGAGAAAACTTCGGATTTGACTGAAGAGCACGGGGGCGTGCAGCGTAATGCGCACCTCATCCGCACGGTGATCACCTGACGGGGATGCAAGTGGGGCAAAAGCGGCCAGGAGGTCAGGGTTGTTATTCTCCTCGTGGAATTGTGGAAGCTTGCGTGGGAACTTCGTGGCGGATGTCTCCAGCAGCGGCTCATTTTGAAAACAGCGGAAGCGCAGATTAACCACTTCGTCAATGGCATGCTGCACGGCAGCAAACGCCGTGTTGCGGTATACACCCCTCACCGCTGCGGGTCTTGTTGTGGATAATGAAGACGGATCCGACTGGGTTGCGCTCGCATTGCCACCATGG